TTATTGTGAGAGTAGCATTGATAAAATTACACCAAAGTTCAGAGGTATTTTGCAGCTCCTCTTACAAAACACTCGCATTCTCCACCAGCACTTTGTTGAACTAAAATAGCAAGTAGATTTGACCGTTCAAGTCACCTGATACCTGTTTTGCCAGACGTGTACGATGGTGACCGCGAACAACCTAAGGGTGCTGAGAGTAGACTAAGCTTTTATAGAGAGATGAATATTAATAAGTAGCACATCAATTTCGGCCTCCAAGGCACAAATGCTTTCCGTTTACGAGAATAGTGAGCGATGATTCGTGGGAAGTGTTATCGGTTTTATCACAAGGAAATCAATTATGAAGGAGTAAGAAAAATGCCTTCTTACCGATTTCTCAATTATAAGAACCCGCGATCTCACATCATCTGAGTAAGCAAGGAATTTTCCACAAGGAGATATAGCGCTAGTTACTATGTAGTTACCGCGAAGAGGTTGAATGCGTGCAAGCTGTAAGACAGAGCGAGGCTTATCTTTCATTTTCTTCTGCAATTTTCCAGGAAGTCGGTAAAGATTCAAGTGATCAACATGCTGGATCAGGCAAATACGAGCTGTAAGTAAGGAAAATTAAATACGTCGTTAGTTAAGTTCCAATTGAAAATAGGTTTTATTAAATGTCTACTAAGATTGTAATTTTAAAGGCATGGGAAAATTACAGACCCAGGTGCGCTTCCAACTGTCAATCGTTAATAATACTAAGTTACAAACTTAAGTGGGGAGGGGGGAGCGATAGACTTACCTCCTCGTGGTGCACCCTGGGCAACGTATACTCATACGGCAAAAAAGTCTATTAACCGGCAGTTGACTTCTCACTTCAATTACCATGATCTATTAACTGGCAGTTGACTTCTCTATGTCATATTCGAAGTCTATAAACCGGCAGTTGACTTCAAACTATCGGCAAAAAAATTCTATTAACCGGCAGTTGACTTCTGACTTCAACGCAAAAAGGTCTATTAACTGGCAGTTGACTTCTCACTTCACAAAAAAGTCTATTAACCGGCAGTTGACTTCTGACTACTCAAACGGCAAAAAAGTCTATAAACCGGCAGTTGACTTCTGACTGCATGTGGCAAAAAAGTCTATTAACCGGCAGTTGACTTCTCACTTCTACCTATCAACACCCCATTGTATGTCACATTCTACCACTTCCATAGCACTCACCTCACCTTTACTCTGCCTTTGTCTGTCTCTTACATCTTTGAAACGTTCTTATGTTCCCCCCTCTGGACTTTTTCGATTAGATGTTGCTTCCTCTCTGAGAAGCCTGAAGCAAACTAAATGGCTAATGATAACTATTAAAACGCCTGCCATTTGATATAACAAATTTAAGTTATACAAATCTAATTGACGGAACCATACTTACCAGCAGGAGCCTCAGTTACACCGAAAGTCTCCTCCGCAAAGTGAACAGCCAAAGGAAGATTAGGCGTCAGTGAGAATGGCCAAAAGGGGAGATGAATGGGTGTTGGCAGTTTGCTCATGTGGTGCTCTTTCTGCCTCTGCTTTCGAGTTAGACCACGTATACTACCCATGTTGGCCAGCGTTCGTGGACAAGGCAGGAGTTTCAAGCGCGAATCATTTCCTGCCGCTACTAGATAGTCGACATCGGAGTTATATGTCCTTAGACCAGTTGATTCACCCTCACCGACGAATAGAAGGCAGTTAATATCACGACTTCCGCCATTTATGAATCCACTTGGTTGCCATTGCGCTAAAAGAATGGGATTAATTAATCGGTTATGGGTTAGAGTTCCTCCACCA